AGTCATGATATCAAATGCATTATATTTTGCCATCTATTTGATAAAGAACATCTTGTTTTTTAGGATCTTTATTTCTATTATGTTCTCTTAAAGGTAGCAAAAATTATGAAGTCTCTTTTGATAATTCAATAAATAATAGTTCTTCAGTTGAATCTATTGGTTGTTAATTTTTTATCTTTTTGGAAATATAAATATAAAAATATAAAAATAAAGATGAAAGATAGAATAAAATATTTATTGAACTTGCTCTATTTTATAGAAAATATTTTTTTGACTCTTTATCTTGATTTTAGTAAATATTTTTAAAAAAAAGTATAAATAATCTTTATTGTATTTGCAAGATTTTTGGATGGCTTCCATGTGTGTTCATTAAAATTATATCTATACTAATATATAAGATATTTTAATCTATTTTTATACTACCTTGAATCTAAAATATCTTCTACCTTAAATTCTTGATTGTTGTCTACTTCTATTAAAAAAGTGGCATTTATTTTCTTCTTAAAATATTCAATGTTTTTTATGGCTCAAAAAAAGACATATAGAACATGGGACGAATTTTCATAAATTTTAATAAATATAATTAATAGGCAATAAAATTTATTAATTCAAAAATATAAAATAGTCTAAGTCTATAGTAATCTAACTTATTATAAGGATAACTTGTCTTTATATTACAACAAAGTAACCATATCTTATCACCAAAATAAAATTGATATTTTTCTTTATAATAAACATATATATTAATATTTTTTTCCTTGAGCTTCTTTTAATTTTATCTTTAATATTGCATGTATTTCTAATAAATAATTTATCAAATTATCTACCGCAAGATTATTAATTTTTTAAAATAAAAAATATCAAATTATAGATAATAATTATAATTTGCAAAGAAAGGTGATTGTTGAATAGAAAAATGTATCATATTATTATAGAAAAAAAATTCTAGTAGCAAAAGAATTTATTAATCATCTTGATAATAATTGATGGTACATCTCAAATACTACTTCATTACTTGATTTATCTATTTTATTTGTTTATAATTTTAAAAATATAAAACCAAAGATAATTTTATGTCCACCTTCAATATCTTGAATCTTGATATAAATTGGGTTTTTTTATTAGATATAATATTCTATGGCAGCTATAATAGCAATAATTTTTGTCAAAAAATAATTTAGCTATTTTTTTTATTTGTGATAGATTTTTATATAATACAAAATATACCATCTTAATAAAATAATTTACTATGATAAATATAGAATTATAAGAACTTGAGATTGAAAGATCTATAATAAATTCTATAGGTACAAAAGACCATGGTTGTTTTAATATAAGTAGTAGTTAAAAAGTCCTTAAGATTAATAATAAAGAATTCTTGATCTTAAAAAAATATCTTATTATTTTATAAAGTTTTTAACTACCTTTTCTATTTGAAGTCACTAAAAATAATTTCAGATTAATTCCAAGATCTTGTTATATTCAAAATATCTTGCAGTTAAATAATTGTGATAAGTTTAAAACTTGTAATCTTGCTTTATTTTTTGGAACATATACTTTTTTTGGAATAAATTAGATTTTTTAATTTAAATTTAGAAATATAATAATTTTTTTTAAAAATAAAATAAAATATATCACAAACAAGAAGATTTGAGAATATATTGAAGATTAGACTTGATTAAAAAATGTTGAATCAATAGTTAACATTGATTTCATTACTTAAAGATGAAATTTTTTTGGCTTCAAAAGAATAGCTTTTTGTTAATTAAAAATTATATTTCTTTTTTTAACACAAGATAAAAATGTTTAGAGAAGGCATCTAATAAATCTTATTATTTTTTTAGCTAATAAGTAATATTGAATATACATCTTAACAATGACATGATTTAATGGGCTTGTCAATAATTCAAAATATGTGCTAACATAAAATACTTGAAATTCTAGTGATTTGTATAAATAATCACTAAATTAGAAGTGCTCTTATATTACTCGTATTCAAATTTAGTGATTATGTACCAAGCACCTAGCTGTGAAAGATAAGTAGAAATACAAAAACAATCCTACTAAATCCATTAGAATCTTAAATAATCCTATATAGACTTTAATAATTTTGATGAAACTTTGATTAATGCAAAATAAATTTAAAAAAATTTATAAAATAAATACAAAGAAGTTCCAAACTAACTCTAAAAAATAATAATAAGAAATCTTACAGAAATAACAATAATCTTAAAAGAATACTATAAATAAAAACCTTTAAAGAAACAATAAAGAATCCTTAAAAAATACGAAAAAATAAAAATTCTAATATAATCCTAATTGAAATCTTAATTGAATCTTAATCAAATTCTATATCAAATCCTAATAAAATCCTAATAAAATCCTAAATCCTAAATAAATCTTAAAAAAGCCTTAATCAAATTTTAATCAAATTTTAAAGCAAATCCCAAGCGAATTCTAATTTCAACCAAATCCTAGACTAAATTCTAAGTCCTAACCAAATCATAAACAAATCCTAAAGCAAATCCTATGGCAAATTAGAACCTTAACAACAAATGTTCAAATTCTTGATATCAACTGAAAATTTGCTTACTTTTTAATATCTTAGTTGGAAACAAGCACAAGAAAGATGAAATCAATTACAATTACCAGTTGAAAGAAATGTAAGATAATCCAATCAAGTATCGGGCGGCCTCCTATTGCAATCTAAATACTAAATTTCTAGCACCAATACCTCCTTCTTGAACCATTGAATTGCTCTCAAATTTCATCTAAATGTACAAAATCAAGTCTAGTATTCTTACAACAAAAAATTACTTCAATTCAATCTATAAATTACTAAAGATCTTAGGAACACTTACTAACCTTCAAACTCTATTTTCTAAAATTTCACTCCACAAAAAACTTCTAATACTTTGATCTAATCTTTTGATTGACTTCAAAATTTTCATACAAATTTACAAGTAGCACACCAACACATTGCCCAAAATTCATCCATATATATACCAGAGAACTTAAGAAATCCTCAAATTTATAAAAATATTTTTATTTCTCAAAATTCAAACCAACCAAGAACGTTAATTATATAATGAAATTCTAGACCAAATCCAAAATCAAACCTTAGATCTTATACAAACTCTTAATAAATGATATAGCAAATGGAACCTCAACAACTAATAATCAAATCATTGATATCAACTCAAAATTTGCATACTTTTTAATGTCTTAATTAAGAACAAGCACAAGAAAGATAAAATCAATCACACTTACCAATTGAGAGAAATGCAAGATAATCCAATTGGATGTTAGGCGGCCTTCTATTCCAATCTGAATGTTGAACTTCCAGCTCCAATATCTCCTTCTTGAATTGTTGAATTGTTTCCAAATTTCACCTAAAATATTAAAAATCAAGTCTAATATCTACACAAAATAAATTCTTACCAATTGCACATACATTCACAACTAGTATACCAACACATTGCCCAAAATTTACTTCTACACACACAATAGAATTCAAAAAATCCTCAAATTTATAAACATATTTTTACTTTTCAAAATCTAAATTGACCAAGAACATTATTGACTTTGAAAATCCCTCAAAAATTCAATATTGACTCAATTGATATAAAACCAATGCCCAAAATTTTTTCCTTAAGTTTTCTCTTAAACCTCATTCTTTGATCTACTAAAGTACCTTGGAGTCACTATAGATGTGCAATTTTGTGCCTCAAGGTCTGTTTTTGACCCAAGTTGACAACTGATCCTCTCTAGGTATCAATTCTTGGCTCTTTGAGGTAAATTTTGCTAAAATCTACTCTTAATTCCTTCCTACACATGCTTTTATTATTTAATTTTCCAATCTACTTTGTTTTGCCTTATTTATGGCCCTACAAAGTAAGTAGAAGTCTATTTTACAAAAAGGCAGCATTAGCACCCTTTAGTTTTACTATCTTTTCAACTATTAGCTATATTTCTAAGATAGTTTGCTATAATATTTTAAAATAAGAGCTATAATATAATTTTTTTTTCTCTCTTTTAATCATCAACCACGTTACATCACAACAACGCTTGTTGTGAAGTGCCTCCTTATAATAGGTTAGTGTTGCATTTTGATGGCTTTTATATCTTTTTTAAGTAAAGAGCTTCCAAAGTGTAGTCATTTTCTGCCTCTAGTTTGAGCTCCTCATGAAGCAATCTAACTTTATTGTCATGGAGATGAAGAAGAGTGCCTTTCATTTGATTATGGATGAATTCTTTGTATTCTCTTGGCAATAAAGCAAGCACCATAAGAACTTCAAGATCTTTCGAAATTGGAACATTAACTTGTTCCAACTGATCTCAAATTTCTCAAAAAACTTTCAAATGTTGCTCCATAGAGAAGTTTTCTTTTCTGAAGTAGACCAGCTTGCTCATCATCTGCCTCCTCTATTCACCCTTGGGTTTGTATAAATTGGCTAGGTGTTCCCAACATGCATAGGGATTTGAAAATCTTTCTATTTTTGTTTCCACTAAGTCTTTGACTGATTCTAAAATGATGTCACATGATTACTTACGTTCTTATGATTCGGAAATTGACATAGCAGATGAATGTGGACTTGTGCAATGAATCCAAACACGGTAACGTTCAAGGATGCTCCTCATTCGTATGGCCCAAGTTAAGTAGTTGTCAACACCATCTGGTGAGCTAGTAACTCTCAGGGGAAGTTCTCTTCGACTTAAAAGAGGTGGATTTCCTGAACCTGGATTTGAACTTAGGATTACTCCGGCTGTTTAGGCAGCAGTACGTACTGTGTGTGTTCACCTGAGAATGTTTGTAAAAATATTTTTTTAAATAAATTTGAATTTCATGTTCAATTTTATATTTCTGTTGAAGTAATCTTTTATTACAACTATACAAATTGTAAAATACTACCGTAGAACAACGTAGTGAACAGTATGTTGTATGGTAGATGTCATGTGTCTTTTGGTATTATAACATCCATGATACTAGATACATCATCTGAGAGCAGACAAGCAGAACATCGATTTTGCAAGATGGCTACAAAGTGCACGCCCAACGTGTGAAGGCAAGAGTGTCATGCGTAACCTAGAAAACAGCACAAAAAATGAATAGAACGAAGTATATACTACACAGAAATAGTTGAAAAAAGAAGGGATCGCTTACAGAAAGAACGGAAAGAGAGTCCCATATACAAACTAACAAGAGTAAGAGCTGGAGTTAGAGCAGGTGAGCGAGGTGAAGCTAAGACTGCGAGGGTTCGTGGTCGGCGGTGGAATCGACGCCCTTGGAGACCTGGTCAGGAATGCCTTCATCCGGCAAAGCCACCAGGAATGTGGGCACTCCATGATGGTGCTCTCCTTGTTGAGCCTCCCTGAACACCTTCTCGGAATCTATTTCTTCCCCGCCGTCCGCATGCCGCGCATTGGCGCTGGACCCCTCCTGATTGACGACGTCGGGAATTTCCTGATCCGGAATGGCTACCAGAAAGGTGGGCACCCCCCCATGATGTTCGCCTTGCTGAGCGCTGCTGAACAGCTTTTCAGAGTCGAGTTCCTTCCTCTGAGAATCAGCATGCCCCTCCTGCCCCACGGACGTCTCCTTGGTAACCTCCTCCGGAACATCTTGATTCGGGAGGGCAACCAAAAATGTGGGTACACCATGATGGTGCTCTCCTTGTTGAGCTCTTCTGAAAATCTCCTCGGAGTCAATTTCTCCCGTGGTCTGTTCACTCGTCTTGGACGCGGTTACTGGAGCGACTTCTTCTGGAATATCTTGGTCGGGCAATGCTACCATAAATGTAGGCACTCCACCATGGTGCTCTGATTCATGTCCTGCCGGCTCGCTCAAATCCGTTGTCGGTCGTCCATGATGGTGTTGATCTACCCCTACACTGCTACTCGTAGGTGGCTTGGCAGCCGTCGGCTCTTCCTTCACAGATGAGGCAGAGACAGGTTCCGTAGTTGCATTCTTGCTTGAAATAGCCGAATCGGTTGTTGCATGGGTTGCAGCATCCTCATCATTGTGCTTGTGTCCAACGTGGAGCTTGTCTTTAATCTTCTGTAGAAAACTGGGATGCTCAGCTCCTGCACTCACGATATAAGCCACGTTTAATGACAAGGGAAATTCACACCACTTCAAGAACGTAAAGCTGCTATGATCCAGTTCAACATGTGTCTATGTGCACTTCTAAATGTCTTCAAAGTGCATAAAATAACCACTGGACATAGATGTTACAAGGACCAGCAATGGAAAGTGAATGATTTCTTCAAAAACAATCCATTTCATTAGATTGAATTCTGAGAAAGCTTTCCATCTGCACACTTCATGTCATGGCGGACACCACTAGGGACGTACATTTCAAACGAAAGATGGTAGGTACAGTTCTGATTGACTTACCTTGTTTATGCTGTTCCGGCAAGGATTTCTCGGCACTATCGCCATGGGAGCACGCCATATTTACCAACGAAAATCTACCAAAATGCAAGCAAGCAGTGACATAGTCAGGCCAGCATGTTCCTCTTTGCAACCAGAAAACACATCTAATGCAAATGTTTGCCCTAGCTCCTCCCTCCACCATTTCGCAAAGGCAAAATTTTAGGTTACTTGAGGCTTGAACCCCACAAATATGGATGATATGCTGAAACAATCAAATTCTTTTCGAATGGGAACGCTGACATACTTATTAGAAGTTTATGTGAAGCAACAGACGCATCCGCCCAGGTCTACAACAAATTTTCAAGGAACTAAGCTAATCAAAAAAATTAAATAAAAACTTCAAGTTTACAGCCTACATTCTTCCAATGTTCAACACTAAAAATACGCAACTCTACACTGCAACGCAAAATCTAAAAAAACATGTGAAAACAGATACTTCCCTAAAAGTATTTCAAATTTTCATATCAAGACATAAGTAGCACACCCGTATCATACCAGACCATTAAACACCTGGATCCACCTCAGACCAGACAAATGGGCTAGTTTTTTTCGATTGTACACTTGTTTTGGAAGTGCAAATAAAACACCAAATAATTTATTTATATCACACCCACAACTAAACAAGTGAAGTGAGGAAATGAACACAGCAAATCTTCAAAAAAATCTAGATCACTGCGCCAAATCTGAGGACACATCCACACGAAAACTCGAAACTCCTAAATCTTTAACAGTGAGCCGGTGAGGTGGCTATGTGAACTATTGTCTTATTTTGCACATGTGGGGAAGAGGAAATCCGCTAACTGAGGCAGCAACATCGGTCAAGATCCAACAACTTCAATCGAAGCCGATAAGGAAAGTCTAGCAAACTCAAATGGACGCATGTTCGAGGATTACCCACCTGCTGCACGACAAGAGAGAGAGAGAGAGAGGGAGAGGTTTGATGAAGAAGTTGACAATGCAAGAGTGAAGATTGAAATGAAGAGCAGGAAAGAGGGAGAGGTGACGATTAGGGAGGAGCAATGTCTGTCGACCGAAAGATGAGAAGAACGATGCAGTGCGAAGCGTACTTGAAGTGATCCTGCAACTGGGCCAGATTAGAAAGTACTTGTTTGACAGGGTCTCCAGTGGTGCTGCTGCCAGGGCTCGCCACGTGTTCTCCTACGTGTCACCCCGGAGGACATATCCTGTAATATCCTCTCTGTACATATTACTATTATTGCCAGGATGTGCGTTCGATATTTAGATCCAGGCTTAGAATTCTTCTTAATCCATAGATTGGCTCTTGTGATGCGGTTCCCACCCTCAGGGCCATGTCACACGTTGTCTGGTGTGAAAGACGACTTGCAATATTATAATAGAATAACACTCTTCACCATTGCAACATGTAAACCTTCCCCCTTGGATTGCTTTTTGACCACAGCACAGTGTCTAGTGCAGGCCCAGATCACAAATCTGTGTTATGCAATGGTACAATATATGATGAAAAAAAATGGAACGGGTGTCTCTGCAGGCTGTGTTTCCGCCTTCCCAAGAAATACTTGGAAGCTTATGGAGTCATATTTGGTCCTGATGTTTTTGCAATTTTCGTGTGATTGTAATTGAAAAGTAGGCCACAAACCTCAAATCTACATAAACCATTTTCGATAACCTCAAACATGGTTCTTACTTGGCCCAATATCTTCAAATTTTATTTCTCATTTAAATTACAAACATTCTATACATAAAATATTAGATTTTTTATATATTTAAATAATATTGATATATCTTTAAATAAACTATCCTAAAAAGTAATCTATTTTTGTATTTAATATATATATATATAAAGTAATATCTTTATATAAAATATTAAGAAAATTACTTATTAATAGGTTATATTTGGAATTATTTTTAAATACATTACTTGACTATAAAAACTTATATTAAAAAAATATTTTAGATTTAAGAATCCACATTAGAGCCATCCTATATCTTAAATATGTATATAGGAGGCTTGGTAGTTTTTAAGAAGCTTGTAAATAATATTACTATTAGCTAGTTTATATAAAAGCAAAACTAGAGCCATCATCAATTCTATCTACACCTTCTTGTATATCTATACTAATTAAAGAGTTTCTAATTTCTAAATGCTTGGCAATAGCCACTCAAAATGATTATAGAAGTTCTTACAAGATTGTAAAATTTTATGAATAACTTTTAAAAGATTTTAAATATCTACTAATATATATATATATATATATATATATATATATCTAAGATATTTTTAAAAAATCTAAAAGATGCTTCAAGTTGTAGTCTGTTTTATATCTATAAGATTGTCTTTTCATTTATTAACAAGTATTATAAAGAATTACAAGAGTCTATTTTGACATATCTTTAAAAAAACCATTTTTATAAAAATTATTTATGGCATCTATATTTTTTTTCAATAGATGTATACACCTATTCAATAAACAATAATATTTGCATCTCTTTGATATCAATGAATTAAATTCAATAATATAGTTAAAGTTGTGGATTTCAAAATATGTACAAAAAATAATTTCTTAACCATAAAATTCAATGCCATTATCTTGTAATACTATAACTAATTCAAAAGATATATAAAGATTTTTATACCAAGTTTATATATAATAAGGTTGTGATTAATATTTAAAAAGCCATGTTTTATTTTAATTATATGTTATTTTAAATTATAACCTAAGTTGGAGATAGAAGATTTTTTTTCCAAAAAAATAATTAATTATAGAATTTGAATACCAATATATAGATTAATTATAGAATTTAAATACCAATATATGGATTAGATAGATAAATTTCTTTATAATGTAAGAACTTTTAGAAAAAATATTAATTAGATTTGATTGGTAAATAATTATAAATGGATGCAATCCCTAAAAACTTTATTCTTTAAAGATATCAATTTATGCCAAGAATTCTATAAAAATTTGATTTATAATTGGATTTTTAATCAAGTTTTTAAAATAATGCAAGGTAAAAATAAAAAGGCAATACATTAAATTTTTTATTAAGTGCTAATAAATATTATGTATTTTTAATTAATTCTCACTCCTAGATTAATTTTTTATTATATGTTCTTATCTAATTTTTATATTTATTATTTTATATCTTATATAAAAATGATTATAAAGATCAATCATAACAATTTCTAATTATAATCCTAAAAATCCTTCATAGATCTTCATAAACCATAATCTCAATTGAAAGAAAGTCTAAAATAATCCTTATTCTAATTCTAACTTAAAAAATCCTATTTTTTTTTTAATCCTGAATACTTATTCCAAAAAATTATTAATAATTCTTAACAATCATAATAATTTATTCTAACCTATAACATTTCTTAGTAAATCTAAAAACACCTTTGTTTTAATTCTAAAATCCAATATAAATCCTTACAAATTCTAACTCTAATTCTAAATCATTTTAAATAAAATTTAAAATCCCAGTCTTAATTCTACCTTAGAAAGTTCTATTTAATTTTAAAAAAATCCTAATTCTAATTTTATTTTAATAAATCCTAATCCTAATTCTAACTTAGCAAATATCAATTAAAATTCGAACTTAAAAAGTTCTAATTCCAATACCAACTTATCAAAAAAAAACTTATTCTTATTTTACTTCAATCTAATAGCATTCTAAAACTTCTTCCAAATAATTCAATATATTTTTAAATTTAAATTTCCTAAACCACAATTCAAAGTCTTTTGAAGTAGCCTATGTACCTTCTGAAGCATTCACATCAATTTTGTACACAACAAGGCATTTGATGACTCATGATGAACATTTTTTTGAAGTTAGATTTTTAATCTTTAGATTGTGAGTCTTATAAAAGTAAAATTTTGTAAAAATGAAGCTAATCCACCTTTATAAACATTCTGTAAGTTTTGTAATTAGACCAAAGTCACAGGACAATATATAAATTTCAAAAATGCCACCTTAAATTTTTAAAGTTTAATGATTTCCTCTAGTTTAAAACTTCATTGCATCCCCACAAATAAATATCTTCCACTCAAACTTCTCACCAAGGTAGCTTAACTTGTATGAAGAAACTTAATTTGAGCACAATCTAAAATCAATAATCTGGTCCTTTTATTAACCAACACAGAAGTGATAAAAAGTTGCCCTATGTACACCATTCTACACTTATGTCCCTCCTAACCAATCTCACACATGGATACATTCAAAGAGCACCACATGAAAACTTTCTAGTGTTCTCTATCCACTCGCTTGGTTCTTCAAAACAAAATTTCTTAACTGTCGTACCGGCTACTATGAAGCCCCTCTACTCAAACATTTCAAGCTTGCCCGTATGCCGCTACGCCATCCTCCCCATATCCTCGTTGAACCATCTTCTGTATCATTGTTACTCCTCGCAGACATCGCTAGCGTGCTCTGCTAGTTCAAGCACACAGCATAATTCATCTTTTTATCTTTTTATCTTATTTTTCCGTACCGAACAATTCTCACTAGTCGTTCAATTCAGATGTTTTTTCTTCCTCACTCAGTCTCTGAATAATAACTTCATTTCTGGTCTAACTTTACTGAAAACTAGGTTCTTTGCAAGTAGGATGGGTATCACTGCAGGGATCATGTGCTTCCAATGGCACTATATTCAACAGACTGATGATATTCTTACTTGCTCTTTCTGCTGTGACTCCTATCATTGTCAGTGAGGTCACTACTGTCTGACTTGCTACCCTTTTGTTCCTCTCTTCGCCAAGCAGAAAGTCTCAAGGGCTCATCTTCTTCAGATTCTGAAAGATGTCTGTGATACTTGCTACTCCGTTTTCTGGAAGAGCATTTTTTCTTATTCTCGCCTGACCTGATATCTTCACTGTTTTCCTCTGACTCAGACCTGGAGCCATGTCGATGCTTGGTGGAATGTTCACTCCGTTTGTGTTTCCTGTGCCTCCTTCTCTTTCTTCTCTCGTCGCTATCCTCGTCAGAATCACTCTCGGAACTCCTTCGCTTCTTCCCTCTCTATTTCTTTTCGCCACTACTCTGATCAGATTCACTGTCGGAGCTCTCACTGCGAATTTCTGGGCTTCTTGTGCGACTTGCGGTCTCTCACAACAGTATCGATGACCGCATTAGTTGACGCCTACAGTTTCTGCTGCCACTTCAAGAGGGCCTCTTTCTTCTCCAAATGTTTCCTCCCCTTTTCCTCAATCGGTTTAACGAACTGCTTTATACTATCCATAGGGTAAGCTGTTAATCAGTCCGTCCTTTCCACGCCAATCCAAAACTACCGGTATGATTGAAGTAGAGAGGTGATGCTAGGGCATCTCAAGAAAATCATGTTCCGACCACGCAAATAGGTGGGTCCAGCAGCTACACCGCGACGAAGGAGCACTTCAGTCCTCCTGTTTCTGCTGCTTCAGTAGCTTCGTATTGCTACATTGGTTTATCTTTGCACACCCGCTTTATTTTTCAGATCCCTGTTTGTTAATGACGCACTTCACTACTCTTGTTTTCATCGCTCGTTGGATCACCGCCCTCGATTATGAAGTCCTTGGTGACACGATGGAACAGCACTCTGTGAAGAAGCCGTTTTTACTGTGTGTGTCGAAATTCTCCAGTGAAAGATGTTTGCTTTACCACAAAAGCTCCAAGGTAATAAATCGCTTCCCGGGAGAAGATGCTCCCAACTAAACCTTCTTTATCATCAGAATACTCATCAGCAACCTTTCCTTCGACGACACCAACATTTACATGGTTCGCATTCCCATCTATGTTCCCTTCAGATTTGTATCTACGCAAGGCCACGAGGGACATCACCAAGAGCATGACGACCACTCCGACCACCACGATCGTGACAGCATTCAGACGCGCACGGCCCTTCTTCTTACTGTGCTGCAACAATGCAGCCAGCTTCATGCGGCCCATCGCAATAGATCAAGCCAGAATCAAAACTAACACAAAAAGAAACCAACTCACAGCCTATCAATCCTAGCTACAAATCTCCTCTTTCTAGCTACAGCTGGATCTGTTTGCTCCGCCTGGACTCTTCTCTCTATTGCTCGTGCAATTACTCCTGCAACCCCTTTCTGGGCACTACGCCCTGTGTGATCGCGGGCTGCGGGTTGGGTGCGGAGTCCTCTCCGATTATCGGTGCAGATGGATCATAGGCGGTGAAATCGGGCATGGGGTTCAATCAGTATAGCAAAAACATGGCGTATATCACAAGTGAGAACTGCGAGCAGCTGAGTAGGACTTCAAGACGCAATATACTGTTGCTTTTCCATGTCGTTGAACGAGCTTATGGCGTCCTTTAGGGGAAGTCTCTTCGGAGAAATCGGAAAACACTTTAACAGCCTTCGAGGCTGTATCGGTAGGTGCAGACTTCATGTCATCAAAATCCGCGCAGAGTCGCATATTTGAACCTGATGCCAGAATGCGCGGTTATTCAACTGATCACGATGATCCGATTCTCGCCACACTCCTGGAGAATTTGCTCTCGTCAGGATCAATGAGAAGTTATCGTTGACCAAGAAGTAATGAATGTGCTTCGGAACGCCATGGAACTAACCCCCGATACACTAACGGATTTCCAATTCCAAGGGGGTACACAGTATGCTGCTGCCCGTTTCTTTGGTGGCACAAACGTGCTCCAAGTAAGAAGCGCGGATAACCAGAGATGGTCCTCACACCCTAAGATAAACAAAGGAAAGGAAAGAAAGACCTTACAGCATTAGCAATGAAGATTGCTGTTGAAAACGGCAACCCAGAAACATGAAACCCACAAGTTGTTCTGGTCTCAGGAGAGAGTGAACTTGGTGTGGGATCCAGCTAGTACTGGCTAACGTGATAGAGTGCGAGGGTTGTCGGGGACCAAAAGCCTTTTTCACTAGAATTCAGCAATTGTGTTTCTCCAAGAGATTCATTTGAATTTACTGTCGAAACATTAGTTGGCTCAGTTACTCACAGGGATGTTCAATATGAATTGTATTGAGCATGAAATAGCAACCTCCAAACTAGATTAATGTGATAGTACTTGAAATTGTCTGCTCAATTTTTCTATTCCACCAGATATAACTTGGTAATGAAGGTTAGCTCGAAACCATTCTAAACTGTTGTAGGCACTTGTTTTGTGCCAATGCAACACAAGAGGAGCCACCATCTCAACTGAAGCAACTTGATCTACCTAAACCTTCAAAACACCTATTTTGGAGTAATTTGACTTTTTTTCTTAGTCTTCTCAATTTTCAAGAAATCCGTATAATGTTTCTATCATATATTCTATCATATGTTCTCATAGGCTACAATAAAATTCTAGAGCCACTACCACCTTCCTAATCAAAGCAGCTATTACTTTAAACGACATTAACTTGACTACCAAACAAACTCAAAAATTTCTAATAAGTCAACAAGTTCCGGAAGTTTCAATTTCTAATTAATAAAAAATCATTTAACTTCTTTTGCATTATTTTTTTAAAAAAAATTACATGTTTATTTATTTAATTTTTTTTTTGTATAAATATAATCTATTTTCCAAGATAAATTAATTCTATTTTGATTTAACAACTAAGGTTGCTTTTAAAAGTACTTGTGTAAAATTTATCAAATATTTTAAAATTTTATATATTACTAATTAATAAAGTTTTTATCTATTCTATAATGGTTTTTTTTGGATTTGTAAAGTTATTAAATTTAATATAATTTAATCTAAATATTTAAACAAATATTGGTAAAACAAACATTGTTAAAATTTTATAAAAAAAATTTAGTTGGTTTTTTTAATATTAATATGATTATAAACATCTTTTAAACTAATCTAAGTGAAAATTAGTTTTTGCTCAAATTTCTTTAAACTAACCATATTAGATTTTTTTTATTGCAATTAGTAGACTAATTCTTGTCGTAATTAATATTTTTTTAAATATATATTATATAAATTTATAATAATAAAAAATTAAATATTAAATTTAATTTTAATTTTATCTTTAAATTTTATTTTAAAACATCTAATTGATTAGTATACAACAAAGTTATTGTTTGGTACATATATATATATATATATATGTTTTAATTAAAAAATATATATTTTTATTTTGATAATATGCTTATTTTTTCTTTTTTTTCTTTTTTATCTTCAAGTACATCTTTTAATTTTTTAAATTAGATAGATAAAGCTTTATAAGACTTATGACTTTAAGTATGTAATGATGTAGCATAAATAACACATATTGCATATTATTTTGCTAACTTATATGCATAAATTAGGTAGTAATCATCTAAGATGTATCTTATATATTTTACTTCATAGAAGTTAAAAATAAAAAATAATTTATAAATTTGATCATTTTTTTTGTTTTTTTTTTTTTTTTTTAGATAATTGGTTGTTACACACAAATACTTGCATGAAGAAATTATTTAAGATACATACATACATACATGCATTTTTTTTTTTTTTTTTTAAATATTCTACATATTGTTGAGATTAGATTAAAATAAATTAATAAATTATAAATAAATTTTCACAAAAGTACATATTTATGTTAATTAAAGAAGTTAGATTGAAATAAGTATAAATAAGTAGAAGTAAATAGAGTGATAATATCTTGAGAAGAAGCTTCATTGATACATTTTGACTTTATATATATGTTTGCAAGTGATTGATAGGTTCAAAACTTAGCCAACAAGTTGGCCATGTGTTGCATATGTTGGTGGCTTGTGGTACAAGTTAGACATGTGTCTTGTAGATTGGACACATAGTAGAGGTGATCTAGAATGTTGCCACGTAATTCCTAGTTATACAGTATATATGGAGGTAAAAGAAAAGCCTTCTTGATTCTTGTCAATTGCTTTCTTGTTTTTAGTCTTGTTTCAAGAGTCTCTAGAATTCTTGTTTTTAGCAATAGCCATTTTAGTCTTATTATTTGAGTGATTATCTATTCTTTTTAAGTGACACAAGAGTGTATTGATCTTTTGGTTTTTTGTCATTCATATCTTTGATTTAAATTCAATCAATGATATATAAAGATTATCAAAATTTAATAATATATATTTTAATAAAATATATTTATTATTTTAGATTATAGAATATTAATTTTAAACATCTATTTTTATTATCTATTCTAAATATTGATTCAAATTCTATCATAAATACTATAAAGATACTAAAAACTCTAAAGTTTATATTGCAATGAAGATAAAAAAATCAATTTAATGTAATTTTAGTGAAACTAACACAAATAAATTCTATGGTAAATCTATTAAGATAGCTTAAAGAATTTAAATATAGAAATATTTTATTTGTAAAAAATTATTATTAATTCAAATAATATAAGTTAAAAATTACAAAAAAGCACAAAGATATTGTAAAGAATTCAAAAGATGTATTAAAATAAAATCTTAAATATTTCTTAAATAATATCAATTAAATCTTAATTTAATTTTAATTAAAATCTTAATATTCCTTAATTAAATTCTTATTCAAATATTAATTAATCTTAAATAATCTTAAATACTAAATAAATCCTAAATCTTAACCAATCTCTAAATTCTAAACCAAATTCTAAATCTTAACTAAATCCTAATCAAATTAACTTAATCCTAAGGCAATTTAGAACCTCAATATCTATTGATTATACTATTGATTTTGATTAAGATTTTACACACTTCTTAACAATTAAGTTAGAAACAAACAAAAGAAATTGAAGAAGATTGAACATACCAATTAGAAGATCAATCTTAAATTCTACTTGAGTATTGGCTAGCCTCCTATTCCAATCTGAATGTTGAACTTCTAGCGCCAAAATCTCCTTTTTGAACCATTGAATTGCTCCTAAAATTCACCTAAAGTCTTGGAAATTAAGTCTAGTCTCCATAAAAAAAAATCACTTCAATCCAATCAATAGATTGC